CACACACACACACACACACACACACACACACACACACACACACACACCATGCTTTCACTTCAGCTCTTCAATAAAGCGTTTTAAAAACTGCTCAAAAAAACGAGCAGAGAAGAATCTTCAGTTTAAGCTCGCACATGAGAAATATGATCCTCCTTATGGAGGGAACTTTTGCTTTGCTTTATGCGTCTTGTAGGAAAGCATACAATAGTGGGAAACTTGACAATAAAACCATTTTAAGTTTCCATGGGTAAAGGAGCAAAAATGTGGGAGAGAGAAAGACAGAAAAAAAAAAAAAAAACCCGGAGCAGATGCATAAAGACATGAGACGCCACCAGGCAAAGTACTGGACAGATAACAGGTGCAGAATTCCAGAAAAAAAACAAAAGATTCAAAAGATCGAGACATAGACAGCCACACAGTCACTCTGATTTAGCGGGACGAGACCCTCAGAAACAAATACCTCCGGTACACACTATAATTACTTCTAGGATACATTACACACGCATGCGTGCGCACACACACAAACACACGCACACAAAGACCCCATGTACACTGCAGCATGGAACTCTGTATCAAGTACATCATACATGGGAGACAGGGAACTGTGGAATGAGAAAAAGTTCCCTTGCAGGTACCGATGGGGACAAAGATTACACATGCCGATTACCGTGTGTGTGTGTGTGTGTGTGTGTGAGTCTGTGTGTGCGCAAGCATGTGTCAAATCAAATTTCCCTTATCCCCTGCCGTCACACGTTGGGACAGCATCCCACCAATGGCAAACAGGGTGGGGCTGTGTATTGCTCAGTCAATGACGCCGGGCTGGCGGGTCTTGCGCTCCAAATTAAAGCCCTGTGAAGAAGAGGAGGGGTGTGCATCAACGCTGCAGTTTGCACAAATTCAGACGCATTTACAGAATTTTCTCAACAACTTTGCATTTACATTATTTGACACAAAAATGAGTTAAAGTAGTATTTGAAATCGGGGCCACGGCTTGCAGCGCAGACAAAAAATGCGGCGATAGGGCAGGCGCGGTGGTACCTTTGAATTGTCGGGACCACGGGGCTGTCTCACGATCACCAGGCGAGGGGCGCTGGCGTCGTCCAGGGTGATGCTCTTCAACCGGTTCACCAGTCGATCCGGACGAGGAGTCGCCACCAGTTTAGGCCCCTCGCTGTAACGTTAATCAAATCACGTTGTATTTAAATAAGAACATCTCAAAACAAATCAAATACAATTCAAAGTGCTTTATAAAAAGGATGGACTCCACAAAAACAAGATGGAAATGGCGAGAAAGCAAAGAGAATAAAGCGCACAAGAAGAACTAAAATACAACACTGAATGAATTGATCGTGGTAAAACAGTAAAAATTTGAGCAAAATATAAAAATAATGTAATAATGTATATATACTAAAACCATAGCCTTATTTGTGTCGCTTAAAAATGTTGCCAAATATACTGAATGTCGCAGACAAGCTCGGCCAAAAGGCCAATTACAATGACTTGAACCAAATCCAGGCCGTGCCGCTCTCACCTGACTCGGCGCACGTTGCAGGCACTACATTTTCCTGTGCGTTGATTGAGGACGACGGAGAACTCCACCTCATCCCCGGTCTGGAGCTCTAGGCCGTCTTGCACCTCTTTTACATGGAAGAACAGCTTCTTGCTCTCACCGACTTCATATGTGATGAAGCCAAACTGGTGGGGGGGGGGGGGGGGGAGACAACAAGTCATTTACCAGAGCATAACCTGTGCTGTAGTCAGTTACTTCAACACTGGAGGTTTGTGATACGTGATGAGCTCCAATGAAACCTACCTGGTCTTTGACACACTCCACCATGGCTCTGCGCTGAGGGACCACGTTACAGGCCATCTTCTGTCCCGTTTGGGCTACTGTGCAAACATGGAACTTCACAAGTTCTCCTTTCTGCAGGCAATCGGCCTTGTTTGACATACCCATGATTCCAAAAGGATAGTTCTGGCCTTTAGGTGCACCTTAAAACAATCCAGAAGGGAGGAGGGGTGACATCTTATTCCAACCCGAGAAAAAACGTGCTTTAAGAGGTCTACAAGTGACACCAACCTTCCTCTGTGACTTCAATCAGCCCTTGGTATTCCGTCTGGGAGGGGTCCACACTGCGCAAGGGACGGATGACCTTCCCCATCGTCACCGTCGCACCGACATCCTCGCTAATGCCGTTCACTAAAAGTGGAGAACGGTGGATTTCACATACCATACATACATACACACACATATATGTAGACACTCCCACCAACAAATGAGACATATTCCAATCAAAGCCCCTTCATACCTGCAGCCACTTTGGTAACCTTCTCAGCACTGACTTTGTTTCCTTTACCCTTAGAGAGAGTGTACTCCACTGTGTCGCCCAGCTCCAAGTTCTCCAAGTCCCCACACATTTCACTGCGGGGAGAAGAAAAAAAAAAAACTTTTATACACCGAGACTTGAATCGGCAGGTCTCTGGATGCCGTTCAGTAAAATGGCGACCAACTCATCCGAAACTGAAGCGTCTACCTGTAGTGAAAGAAAATCTCCTGGTCGTGATTTGCCGTCTCAATGAAGCCAAAGTTGTCCTTCAGCGTGGCGACAAATCCGAGCAGTCTCTTGGCGTTGGAGGCATTGCGGTTGAGGACCCTAATGGACACTGCGCTCTGCAGGCCGGTGCGCTTCACTTCGTTGATGGAGAACTCCACCTAGAGGACAAACTTGTTAATAAGTCACAAACGGGGGAGTTTGAAGAATCTAAAGCCCCACTGGCAAACACAGCCTCAAAAGTTGGGCAATATTAGGAGTTCTACATTGTATTTTTACTCTTCGCACGGCCTCCGTTGTATCTCAAACAAAGTAACTGAGTGCAGTGTCACTGTATACCTTGTCTCCGACCTGAGGGTATCCTCCTCCCTCTAGGTCCTTGTTATGGTACGGCACCGTGAGCTTCACTCCGCAGTCTTCATATGCAATCACTCCTTCCTCAGCCTCCTACAGAGAGGGGCAACAAATTGCATAATGAGCATCATAAAAACACCGCATCCAGCTGGCCCAAGGCTCACCAACGCTACACCCGCTTCCGTGTCTCAGATGATTCAGTCAGATGGTTTAAAAGGTGTGTAGTGTATTAGAAGATGGTGTGCAGACAGCCCACACAAGCTTGTGAGATTCTGGAGCAGCAGAGTTGGTTAGCGCTGGCCGAGTCCACTGCGACAGCTCCGAGTTACGGCCCGCTATGCTACGCAGGGCCGCGTAATCACCCATCAGTATTGCCGTTTCACTGGGAACACGTCTGCAGTCTCCACGTAATATATTCTCCCCTCGGTTATTCGCAGTAATTGCCTGAACCAATCGCGGCATGCAATTTACTGGCATCATCACCGAGAGTACAAATTAAGCTTGCCGGGCTGATTGATCGCGGAAAATTGAGCAGACCATTGTATGCTTCTTAATCTGTTGTTTTGATCATGCTGCAACTAATAAGTATAATTTTTTTTGAGTGCAAAAATGTTTTAATTTCAATTGCGTAAACAATTAAAAAAAATAAAAATAAAAAAATAAATAAAAAAAAAAAGACCAGAGTAAGAGACAGGAGAAGAAGTTCATTAATAAATGATGCCGCTTATCAACAAGCACGCAACAGACTGTTCCCAAAAACGTGCTAGAGATTGGGACCACCATTTCATCATTAATCGTGCAGCCATACAACTCACTGAATCAGTGTCACAAAGTTTGAGTGCATGTTTCTAAGGGTTAATTGGGGATCAAATACCATGCTGTCAACTAAAGGAGGCAATGGGCATGCCAGAAGCCTGCAAAGACAAACCTTTTCTACAACTTTAGCCTTGAAAAATAAGAGAAACAGACACCTGTTAAACAACAAGGCAGCATTACACTTGCTGCACTATTTGTCAACTGTTCCAAGTCTAGGAATTAAGTAGTGATTTCTTAGACTAAATGTTAGTGAAATGCACAGACTGTTGGATTAAGTCTGAAGACATTTGCTTAGAGACTTGAGACTTTAATCATGTGGCTTCATGCACAACATCTCAGTCCTACCTTGTCTTTTTTCTAAACCAACAAGGAGCATGAAGGACCATCGGACGAGACAAAAAAGAGGAAAATTAGAACTAAAGCAGAAATTGGAAAGAGGGATGACGTGAAGGACTATGAGGCTATTGTTTTCTTTAAATGCACTGGGTTTGTTTTCACGCATCATGATTGCCTTAAATTGTGCATTCTGGTACCTTTTCCTTGGTCTTGGTGGGACTGGCGTTCTTGGTGTTGGTTCCCACAACCTCCTTCTCCACCACACCCATGAAGCGCTGGTCAGACTGGGTATGGAAGGACACGGAGCCCTTGGGCAGCTTCTTGATGCGCACCGCGTGGTTCCTCTGAGCCGACAGCATGTCCTGGGGACATCGGGACATTTGACTTAGCTTGCAATTAACAACCCAAATAGTGCCCGATTAAGTAATGAGACAGAATACATACTTTTGTGAAAAGCTTATAAACAGGACCTACGGGCACAACAGTGAACTCCACTTCATCTGAGATGTGCAGCTGGCTTTCCTCCAGGACTTCACTGAAGTGGAAAAACATCCTGGCGTCCCGATCGACGCACTTGATGAAGCCAAAGCCGTCGCGAATAGCCGCGATCACTCCCTGGAAGAAGAGAGGTATTCGCTTCAGTTCAAAGAATGTGGACGCCCCCTTCTAATTAAATCTCGACAACAATGCACCACATTATATAATAATCTATACATTTGTTTTTCTCTAATCCCCACCATTTCACGGGTCTCCTTAGTAAAGTCGAAGGTGTCCGGGAAGATGTCGATGTTGGTGGCCCTCTCCAGCTTGTCCCTGCGGTCGGTGGAGATGTTGAACTGTATGTGGTCTCCCTCCAGAAGGGTCACCTTAGACTTTGTGTCCTTCTCGCCGAACGGCAGCTCCTTGTCATTGAAGCCGATGCGGGAACTGATGCGGCCCGGTAGGGGGTCGTTCTGCGGAGGAAGCATCAAGGACAGATTTCACATTCCTGGTTGGCGGCTCACGGGTTCCATGCTCGCCTCTACAGCTAAAGACTTCTCCAACGCATCATTCAACTAGCCGGACTTGTGATCTCCTTGCCTGGTTTTTGGTGGGGACCTTGGGGATGACTTTGACGACGGTGCCCTCGAACTGCTCGATGCTGATGTCCTCGAAGATCACCGTCCCCTGGGGGAGCAGCCTCACTTCGGTGGCCACCTCTTTACCCTACGGCCAAGAGAACAGGAAATGTGAACAACTGTACATGTACACACTCAGCCAGGTCATCAGTGAGGAGGGATTTCCTGGATGGTGGAGGCCAAAAGCTCGACAACGCCTACGTTTCTGTCCTTGATGGTGAACTCGACGTCGTCTCCAGCCTGCAGAGCCTCAAGATCACCCTTGAACTCGCTGTAGTGGAAGAAGATCTCCTTCACCACGTCGGCCCGCTCAATGAACCCAAAGGCCTCCTGAAAAACAAGGCGTGGTTCAGCATAACGGGTACATCGGCCCGAAAAATTTAAATGGGAGAACCTGCCCTTAACAGCACAGAGGGTTATTCATGGGACCAAAATTTAGTTTTGCGTTTTTACAAAGTCACTAATCAAAGATGTAGCCGTACTATGTCTAATCTGCACTACAGGACAGGTCCGTGTGATGATTAGCGGCCCTTACCTTCGTAGCACACACCACACCCTGGCACCTCATTTGCTTTTTCTTCACAAGTTGAATATTACGAGCGCTGACTGCACCGGTGCTGAAATGCGAGAAAGGTTAAATGTAAAAATGGAGTGTAAGCGGGGAATTATTGAGGAGATACCGACGCAGCGTGAGGACTTACTGCTTGTTGGTATCCATGTAAAAGCTGACTTTGTCGCCTGTGTCCAGGTGGAGGTTTCCCTCCACGTCATCAGGGGAGTAGGTAAGGTAGAACACTTCCTGTGGAACGTCACAGCGGAGTTAAAAATGGTTCGGGACGTAACTTTTAACCAGAAAACTATTACATGTTCAAGGAGTTCAAAAGAAACATCTTATCCCTGATCGAATATGTTCAAATGTTAAGATGCCGTCAATATCGTCTGCCCGCGGAATTCACTAATGTTTTTATTGTTGCCGATTACATTCATCCTGATGTCGAAAGGTGCGCTTTTGTTTTTCTTGTGTGGCATAAAGCACCAGGCCTGCAACCGCATTATGTTTTTGGAGCATGTCAATCATGCGTTTCAGCACGTAAACACCACTTCCCTGTTTATGAGCAACCCTAACATGCTAGCTGGAGTACTCCTAAAGAAAGCGAGAGTTACTGTTGCCTGTATACTGTTGTTGTAAAGACATAAACAGCGTATTCATGTCCATGTAGACACACTTCATAGCAACATGGAAGCAGGTGCAAGAAGGCATTCAGCAAAACCAAGCAAAGCGTGGAGCAAGTCATGCAGGTTCTTCAAATCCTCAAGAGGGAAAGGGTGACTTTTGACTTAAATTAACATTCCATTGACCAAGCATGCTGCTGCATAGAGCTGCCAGCAACGCTTCATTTTCTGTACATTCATCCGTCAACTTTTTCACTATTTTCCTCCGGACAAATAAATTTGAACAGCGTATTTAATTTAAGTTCATGTCATTGTGTAATGCAGCACAAAACTAAATAAGTTGACCCCGAGTTCTTCAAGATATTAAAATAAGAGTATCTAAAATATGCTCCCTATATTCTTACAGTACACTTAACCTTGTAGGTAATAAAAATCGATAGCATTTCTCTACAAGGCAGCACAACCGCTCTTTTTTTTTTTTCACTATAGTGTCGCTGTAAAAGATCTTCGCCGAAAACGTCATCGATAGCGCCGACTAATCGCGGAAGCCCCACTGCTGTAGCCCTTGCCACTTACCCCGTTTCTTTCATAACACACGCTGCCAGTGGGCACCTGGCCGGGTGCCGACTTTCCATCCAAGTGCACCGGGATCGACGAGACGACCTGCAGAGGAGGAGGAAATAACACAAGGAGGCTGTTAGCGCACTGCTTTGCCAGCTGTAGGTTGGATATCCATTGAATTTGCAAAGCCCGACTAAAAATAGTTGTGATGGATGAAATGGCTGAATTTCAAAGTAACAGGTAGACATATTATGTGTGTGCATTTCTAATCTTTAAAAAGACCTGTACATGTAAGATCTGTTTGACAGACTGACCAACTGCGCTATACTAGTTGCTGTGAGCATTAACATCTAAAATGAAAACACCCACTGGGAAGTTACATTGATTACTATACTATAACTGTTCTATAGATATTCAGCACCTCCAGCAAACATGCATATCAGCACAAAAAGCCAATTTGCAATCCAAATGTGTTCTAAATTTTGATGGGATAGGTTGTTCTTTAAGTTTAAATGCAGCATTAGGAGGCGGGGGATCTAATTTAACGACATCCCCTAGCCGGAGAAAACAAAAAACAAAACACAATGGGCCGTATAAATGTTCAATTGACAGACAACGACAGAACCAAAAATAAAATGGTGTTCCTTAACTGGATGAATATAACCATGCAGCACAGTAAAGGGATAGGCGTGCACGTCTGGCCCCACCTGGCCCGAGATGCGCTCCTCTGGCAGCACCTCCGGCTTTATCTTTAGCAACTTCACTGCTATGGGCTTGCCAGTGCGCCTGTCAGAGGATACCTCAAACTCTACATCATCTGGGGACAGAGAAGCAGGAGAAAAAACAGACACTATAGCACATTTTCGTTTCAAGTGAGGCATTTATTATTAGGCATTTATTATTATTATTATTATTATTATTATTATTATTATGTCACAAGTCCTCTCACCTCCTATTTTAAGCTCCTGCAGGTTGCCATTATACTGGGAGCAGTGGAAGAAGAGACGGGCCTGACGTTCGGAGCACTGGATGAACCCGTACGACGTCAGGAGCTTCTCCACCACACCAGTCTCTCGGATGCCGGGGCCCGTGCCGTTGGCGTAGGCAGTGTGCCCATTGCTATGGAGCATGCCTGGGTCAAAACTCATCTGGGTGGGGAGAGGAGAAGCAAGTGTTAAGATCAACATGAAGCAGACAAACAATTAAAATAAAAAAAGCAGTTTGCAGTTTAATGCAGTGTTTGATGCCAACCTTAAAAAATATAATAAAATAAAAAATAAACACTTCAGACATGCAGGTAAAGCAAACTTCAAGAGGAAGTGGGGAGGGGGAAAAAGCAATAGGAACTCTACATCCGAGTCCATCTGGCCATCACCAGAGGGGAGCACACATTAACGCCTAGATTGAATTTCAGAATCATTTATACCAGTCACTGGAAAACAAACAGCAAAACTGCATGGCACTTCCTGGTTCTGTTACAAGTGCCATGCACTTAAAAGTCACTCAATACATCATGTGATTTTAGGGCCAAACCACCAATGAAAAATTTCATGCAATTCTGGTTAGACAGACAAGACGATCAAAAACTGCTCACCTGTCCTCTACTAACCAACCAGTGATCATACTGGAGCATCAATAAAAAGCTGCCAAAACACCCTGGTTAACCTCTCCACACAACTACAAACCATGCCGTTAGCAAAAGTCACACGACAACGGCAGCTCACGGAGCCGTTAAGTCAGTGCGGGCACCGCCAGACATGCCCTCTTACTGATCTCTGATACAAGGGGGTCCGCTTGTGTTTTTTACTTCCTGGGTGGGGGTGGCAAGAGACTGAGGAGGAGCGGGGGATGGGCACGGGACCAGTGGAAGTAGACGGGGTGGAGTCGGTGTTGCGAGCCACCGGGGGTTCGGAGGAGCCCCTCTCCATTTCTGTCACTGGGGATAGGACTCTGATATGCTGTTGGGAGGAGGCAACAGCTTTCACAAGGAGCATCGTCACACGCTTCTCCAGATGTCACAAGTGGTTCAGTTAGTACGCAAAAAACAGTCGTTATCCAGCATCATGTTATGAACTACTTCTGCTTGACCTCGCTGATCTGACGTTATTTCAGACAACCACCAGTACCCCATGTACCAACTATTGGAGGCTCGACGTGTATACATTTCGCAATATACTACACGACGATTTCTCAGATGCCATTTTAGTATATTCAAGCTCATCACAACCACCAATACTCTAATCCTGACATCAAAATACCAAGCCGTAAGAAAACCGCACAGCCTCTACGCAACAATGGATCCGCAACCGAGACCATCTCACATTTACGGGCATCCATCGATGGCACTAACCAGTAGTTGAAAATGCTAGCATATCCAGACAGGAGGACTCGACAGAGAAGGCAGACTAAACTAAAAAAAAAAAAAAAAAAAAAAAAAGATCTTTGCACAGCCAGTTAAGGTGAAGCGGTTCGAGTGGAGTGCAGTGAATGGAACTAAAGGTTGAGTGAAGTAAAACTACTGAAAGATGGAGGACCGGAAAATGCAAATGGGGGACAAACAGAGGTGCGTCTACAGTGGATAGAGTTGGTGATGGGTCATGGGTCATGAGGGGGGGGGGGGGGGTCCCAGAGCAGCCTCTTCTGTTAGGCCCTGTACTGCCCTACTCTTAACAGAAGACATAAAATAATATGGAGGTCTTTCACGCTTCAATGCCCTTAAACACAGGACATTAAAAAGACCGGAGTACACAGGCCGCATGCCTGAGCATTTGGTTTGGATGCCCGTGCAGTGATTTAAAAACCCATAGTTCAATTCTGATGGGTAAGTGCCCATTTCATTTATTTGTCTTTAACTAGACAGACTAACCCTTTACCGTTGCGACGCAAAAAAAAGGGCTCTTCGGGCCTCGTGACAAGGACCAGATTTCTACAGTCTGAACCAGCAGATCACCCCTCACCCTGCAACAATACAGCTGACAAGAGGCTAGTCTCTGGAGCCCGGAAAAGGATGGAGGAGGTTAGGCCATTCACAGCAGAGAGATGCGGGGCAAGGTGGGTGGATGGGTGCTCGATGGGGGTGGGGCACGTAGAAAAGGAGGTGGGAAGGTGGAACTTACGGATCGGCCATATGGCGACAGGCTGAGTCCGACGGGGGAGGTGCTGCTCAGGTCAGCGCTAACGAACGCGGTGGGTGGCGACGCAGGCAAGGTAAACTCAACAAAGCCTTTCCAGGGGCTGCCCATATTTTCCCATAAACTCGGACCGAACTTGCTTGAGCACTTGCTGAACTTGATTTCTTGTTTGAATGTTTGTTTGTTTTTGCTTTGCTGTTAAGCTCTATTTTTTTTTTTTTTTTTTTAATGTAACCACCCAATGATACACCGCTGGATGTCTGCAAGGGTGAAGAGAGGAACAAACATAACGGGTAAGGCAGATAGGTCAGCCAGTGTGCCAAGTGTCAAACAAAACAAAAAAGAAAATAGCTGT